TCAGCTCGTCGCCCTGATCAAGAATATATATACTTTGTGGGGTCTGCCACGCCTCTTTCTGGCTGTTACATAAATTTTAACAAAACCATTATACGCTGATTTCCCATTTTCAATGGGTTCAGGGTATAAAAACTAAGGAAGTGTACTTAAAACTTTTTCGGGACTTTCGGTATTACTTATCAAATAAATATACAAACCTGAATTATCATGAAATCCTTCAATATGTGTTGAATAGCCATATGTGCACTTAGAACTAAAGGGCGATCTACGTTTTTGTCTCGGACAGTTTTCAATAGAACTTATTGATGCATCATCTTCGAAATCGATTTTAAAGCAAATTCTAAAAAATATATAATAAATATAGAATACATCATTTTATCATTCGTATAGCATTAGTTCTTAGCTATAATCTTCGCAATTTTACATATATGAGGGTGAGAGGGTTTATATAAAGGTGGGGGTAAAAATGGAAATTCTATGAAGTACATATGAATCTACATTTAAAATTTTGCGATTCTAGTTCTAAAGAAGTAGATATAAATTTATTACTGATTTTCGATAATGAACAAGTTATCGGTTTTTGAAAAACAAAAACAATATGGCCGTGGTATACACGAACCTAGGAAAATTTTAAGTCTCTATTATACGGACAGATGGACGGCCGGAAAGTACTATATCGACTCAGCTCGGTGCCCTGATCAAGAATATATATACTTTTTGGGGTGCACCACACCTCCTTCTGCCTGTTACATACATTTAACATGTTACATACATTTAAAATAATTGCACTATGAGGAATTTCGCGGTTTTTTTTTTCGAAGTATTAAAATGTACCATTTTTGTATGTTAAAATCTTAATAAAACTTTAATCTTTCAGTTACTCTACCCAAAATGTTAAATAAGAGTCTACTGTTAAGTATAACACCTGCTATCTTCGAAAAGCACGTGTTTTCTTTTCAGCTTACAATTTTTGGTAACCGATTTTCAAATTGTCGTTGTTAGACCGACAAAAATTTTTAGAAATTTAAAAAGGTTATAAATTATTTGTTTTTATTCTTGGTTTAAATAACATGTTTGAGCTCGTTCCATTAATTATTTGTAAAATTAGCAAGTGTTGTCAAATGCCATTTTCTGTAAATAAAATTTAACTTTGCAATTACATATAAAACAGCCATAAGGGCAATTGTGTGTCGAAGACTCATTAATTTTTAGAATGTGACTACGATCTGAACTTTAACCAAGCAACAGTAATTATGAATTCTTTTAAAGCGAAACTAAATAAGACTAATGATTCAACCTATTAATCATAATAAGAAAGTAAAAGCCGCTTTTTTTGCCAAAGTTTAAATACCAAAGGGAAGAAATGCCACAAGAACAAAAACCACCTGACATCTATGAATGACTGCCTAAATAACTGCTCATTCGAGGCAAATTATGGAAAATATTGTTCATCCTGTAGGCATTTCTGGCAAAGAAGCGTGTGACTTGCTCAACCAGGTATATAAATTAGACAAATTTTATCACGTTTGGAAGCATTGCAGAATTTCGAAATTTCGCTGGTGTTTGTAATGAAGTTGTACGGCTTGTATTCTGTAAAATTGAAGGCACAATTTAATCGGTTGAAGACCCCGAAGTTTTCTTAGCGTATCAATATTTCTGGCTGATCTGGAACACTGACCAGACAATACATAGATGAGACATGTAGAGCAAACGTTTTCAACGCCGTATTTGCTCAGCTCAGTCTCTTGAGGCTCTCTTTCCCTTTCCCTATATGGTCACTCAAATCATCCAAAATTTGAAATTTGTCCACGACGATCCCAGCTCTTGCCTTTTGATTCAATGGAAATCAGGATATAATGCAAATTTTAAATAAATAAACTCAACCGTATTTTATAGAGGTTCGGATTTTGTTGTAACTTATTCTGTTTCTTGTGTAAGCAGAAAATGCGAAAAATTATTGTGTTTTGTGAAACTGCATGTTATAGGCAGAAGGTGACATATATTCTTGGCTGAATCGATATATATATACAGTTTGAGTATATAAGAGTATATATTTCATATTTTTAGTATAAAGTATAAAAGCACCGATTTTTTATTTGAAATCTTTCTCATTAATTGTAAACAATTCTGGTCCTGGTAAAAAGAAGTTATATTTGTAAATCACCTTATTAGTAAGTGTGTTCAATAATATATAAATGGTTATAGGACAATATTACTTACTTATCGGCGTCAGTTAGACCATCCAATTTACTATAGTACGAACATTGCAATATTTTAATTTCGGTTTCAAACGTATCATTCTGAAAAAATTGGGATTTGTGGTACATTTTAAGATTATTACATAAGTAAAACAAATAAGATACATCTAGTCGAGATAAGTCGATATCCGGACTTCTTTCACACATACATCACCACGCACGTATAAGCATGCCATCTGATATCTGCGCAATAAGCAGCGAATGTGCTCGGGCTGCAATGCGGAAATATTTAGAGAATTTTTTTTTTTGAATAATTTCCCTTAGAGTAAGGCTCATCTAAAACAGCCTGCCCGATCTGCGTGGTTACGCCCGCCCATATCCATTGCGGAATCTGGTGGCAGAGAAGTTCGAGGAGCTGGAGAAGGACCGGCAGAGATAGCGGCAGCAGCCCCCGCGCATTGGAGTGCGAACATCTAACTACTGCCAATCGAGAAAAGCGTTTCATGTGGATAAGGAGGTGAAGGGAACGAACAGGACCAAAAAGCAGCGGTATCTTCGACGGAAGAAGGACAATTTCCATTGGTAGCAGATGCGCTCTCACGGCAGCTTTTGAAGAGGCGAGCCGCTTGGTCGCTAGTAAGGAGACGCCAGCGGCGCAAATAGCTGCTGGAAGAGAGTCACGATGCAGCCGCCGCTAGCCATCTTTGGAGTCGAAAAACAATTGCTCGGATGACTGCACGATACTACTGGCCTAGTTGCGTTGCGAACTGGGTAATGATCTTATGTATACACATTGCAAACACATGCACACACACATTTATATGCATCCACACGCATGCATAACCACAACTCTGCACTGCAGTGTGGGCAATAGTATAAGAATTTATTTGTTGACTAATTTAATTTCTAGACGGACAATTTTAATGAAACTTTGAGAACGTACTCATAATCCAAAACACAAGTCTCTAGTACTTGAAATAATTTTTTCTTTGGGGGCGAACGATCCAATATATGTTTATACACACTAAATCTGAAGTTCAAATCAAACCCTATTCAATTGTACTATTATTTTCGATAAACATGTTAACGAATGAGTTATCGAAAAAGTAAGATAAACTCGTACTGCGTATGGTATACACTAGTATGAATGCCAAATTTCAGTTTACTAGCTCTTATATCTTTTGAGATCGACGCACTCATACGGATGGACGGACTGATAGACAGACAGGGCTATTATGACTTAAGAATATATATACTTTATGGGGTTTGCGATGATTCTTTCTGCCCGTTACATACTTTTCACAAAAACATTAAACCCGGATTTCTCATTTTCAATAGGTTCAGTGTATAAAATGAACACAGCCAAAATTTGGTTAAAATCTCACAATTTTTTCGTCGAAGGCGCGTACAGGTGCCAAAGCCACTGGGGGCTGCAAAGCCTACATGTGATTTTTCAGTAGTGCCCGGTGTGGACAGAGGCAGCGTTGGCCTATCATGTACACGAGGCATGCTGGGATGGTGTGGCTGCAGACGCCTGCCACGCGACTGGCTCCACCAGCTGTGTAACTTCAGGCGTCGAATAGCTTGACAACCGATCCTCGCGCACTGGCCAGCGGCTTGAATGGAGCTGTGCGTGAAAGAGGTTTGGCCCACAAGCGTATTGACACCAAGGATTTAATGGCATAAATGGCAACTGACGCGCGCACATGCGCCAATGAACCCGGACGCTGCAAAACCAATAGATGAGTTTTGCAACAGCGCCCGGCGTGGGCAGAGGCGGCGGCAGGTCAACAGACATCAAGGAGAAGACAGCCTGGACTTTAAAATTAAGGGGAATTTAAAAATTGTACAGTCTATTCACTAACTAGCAGCATACAGCATTGCCAGCAGTAAGTAAAATTGCAGCTGATGGCGTTAACAGCAGCGACCAGCTCAAAATGGAGCACCGCAGATTGGAGTGGCGCAGAACGGAGCGGCCGAAGGGAGAGATGAGCGTGAGGAGCAAGTCAAGTAAAGACATACCTGATAAATCTCAATGTTGAAATCATTTTAAGAATAACCCCTCTCCTATTTTGAAACAATTTGAAAGCGGCTAGTCCCACAGTTTGGCAAGAGTGTTTACACACAGGGAAAACATTTTAATGTTTTGAAGTGAAATAAAAACAGTAATATGTATATAAATGCTATTTAAATGAAAAAAAAGTAAATTAAATTATAAACTTATTAGTAATTAAAAAAAAAAAAACATATATTTTCATTAAAAAAAGAAACCACAAAAAACCAATATTAGTAAAAACAAGTAAGAACGGAATGCTCATTCACACCCCATACGCAATTTAGTAGCCAAGATTTGCTCTAATATAGAACAAGCTAACCGTAACCAAGCTGCAAAATTTGAATGCTTACTCTCCAAATATGAACAAATTGCAGGGTATTTTTCGATATGCCATGCCCCTAAAGATTCGTAATAGTCTTATTTGGGGAACCGATAGAGGACATTACTGGTAACTTAACTATCCAAATTTGAAATTTCTAGCTTTTATACTTTAGGAGATATCAACTTTTGCGGTTTGCCACGTGTATGTGTGTGTGTGTGATTGCGTGTGTATAAGTGTGTTTGTGTGTTTTTTTTTTATTTTTATTTTTTTTTTTATATTCGTTTATTAACAACCTTATTTACAACAATATGAGTGCGCACGATGCTTGCGGGACGGCCGTAAAGCGAGCACTTTGAAATCTTTTAACTCTTTGAACTCTTCGCTCGATTCTGCGAAGCTCCATCATGATTGTGGTCACGAAGGTGCTTATGAGTTTCCAACCTGCCTCCGATCCCAACATCACGTTGACCATGTTGTCCGCTCTAATGGATCGGCCTAATACTTCTTCCAGACAACGCCTCTCCTCTAGGAAGCGTCCACATTCGAATAAGACGTGGTTGGCATCCTTGTGTGTTCCATTTGCCGGGTTTGCGGGTTATCCATGGCTCAAGCTCAGGTATAAGAGTATGTGTCCACCGGCCTTTAGATGAGCTGTTCCAGCTTCTTTTCCATCGTGCAATGCTGTTCGCTCTAATATTATTGCGTCGTATAGGCTCGTGTGCATTCCGCTCCACGGCTTCGGCGACTAAGTCCTCCAGAGGCACCATGCTGGCTATGACGAGCGCCGAGTCTTCAGAGACTGTTCTGAATGCGCAGTAGACTCTGCGCTCAGTCTGTAGATCGCGCAAATGCCCCGGCTGTATTAGAGCATTCACTGTATTCAATGCGCACATATTGCGTATACGCCATGTCGACGAGTCGATATACAGGACACAAGTCTGCCTGGCGCCAACTGTCTGCGCTTTGT